CCCCCCCCCCCGCATTTCTAGGCTGTAAGGGAGAAAAGAAGAGGGTTTTCACCCTCTCCGTTACTGAAACCATCCAACACGCCCCCCAAGGTCGGCGGATTGTTTTTATTATATCACTGCTAGTACTATCAACCACATAGGCCCACAGGTGGTTATACCCCTTAAAACAACCATGCTCCGAGGACATGGTCCGTCTGCCTGGCATTCTTCCACCCTGGCTGGGCCTGAAAGATGACTCCGAGGAGCCAAACTGAGCTATAGTCTCCAACCTTTTAGTTTAGGGTTTAGGGTAAGAAGCCTTCTTAGAGTGGGGTTACATAGGGGATTCTTAGGGTTCCTACTATAGGGCTTGTAAGGGGGATACTAGGAGGTTAGATTATGGCCTATCTGGTGCTAAAGGGGTAGGTGAATCCATACGAGAGTCCTTGCCCCAAGAACCCCTACCACTGTTGGATTATACCACCAGCTATGCTACAGAATCCCTACTAGAATGCTTTTGTTTTGCATTTTTTTAAAAAAGTACCTGCATTCATTGCTCCACTCCCCTTTCAACGTCAGCAAGGAGTGCACCATGGTTCTTATCTTCCCCCGCGTCACCTACGCGGGGGGCACTGTGGATCCTGCTCAGGAGGTACCGGATCCATGGGCCAGTCTGGAGAAGATATTCGTTGCAACAGCCAACAAGCACAGTGCATACAGCTGCGAGAGGGTGAAGGCCAGGATCGGGCCAGGACCATTATTATTATTGTTATTTGTATTGTATTTTCCCTATGTAGTAGTTTCCAATTGATTTTCCTTGTCCCAATAGTAGTCCCCAATATAACCAGGACCTGCATCAATGGAGACCTATCAGAGCGTCGTTCGCGACTTCTTGACGGAGCTTGTAGCGGAGTCCGGGCTAACCATGTCTACCTTTGCGAGCGTTGATGAAGACGAGGATTTCCTAAAGATCTACCTCCCACTCTCTGGACCTGTCATTGAGCACATGGCAGAGCATTTGGAGTATTCCATGCCCTACAAAACGAGTGTCTACGAGACGATACGACCCCATGGTCCTTACCCAGGCAATGAACCCATGAAAGACTCCCAGGGCCGGGATATTGTGGCATGGGACAGCTTCAAAATTGAGAAAGGCACCTTCTTCGAGCCCTTTTCCAAGCTGGATTCTGTTCGATTGTTGGAGTTCTGGTTGGATGAGTGGGTCAGCCTTGATGAAATGGAGAGACAAGGTGGGGCGGGGCCGTGCATCATGTGCGAGCCTACTATGTGAGCCATAGTCTCACCTTCTGAAAAGGGGTTATATAGGGGATTCTATAAAGGAGTTATTAAAGGGGATACTAGGAGTTTAGACGATGGCCGGTAGATAGGTGATCACACTGCCAGGCATCATCACCTGCTACTTTCCTTGCCCAGAAGTGGAAGCGCTAAAACGCCTGCACAACCATTTCTTGGACTTTCGGAAGTGGGTGCACTTCCAGGGAGAACAGGCAGATGAGCTTCGTGACTTGTCTGCCAGCTAGCTGTACGCGGGCTCGATGGGATTTCCCTGTTATGATTTAAAAAGTTACAATAAATAGGGTTTAGGGTTTAGGTTTAGGGTTTAGGATTTATGGTAGTATTAGTATTAATCCAAGCAATCGGAATCATCGTAGCAACAGCTATAGCAGTTGTGGTAATCCTCGGAACCCGACGCGGCAGGCCAGTACTTTGGCGCAGAGATTGGCTTTTATTTTCGCTTCCTGGGGTATGTTTGCACCTTGTCTGCCAAAGTTGCTGCATGCGCCCTGATCTGGGATTATATGAAGTGGTGTTTTAAGATATGGGTTTTGGGATGGTGTGCATAAGATTGCTGAGGGATTTTGGTGAGTGTAACATGTTTGAAGCCCATCCTGTCAGACCCTCTATCTCAATCCTATCATCTCAGAACCCTAAACCTTAAACCCAAAATCCTAAACCCTACCTAAACCCTAAACCCCAAATCCTAAACCCTACCTAATCCCTATACCCTAAATCCTAGATCCTAAGTCCGAAGCCCTAATGATACCAAGCTTTTCTTTGGCTAAGGTCATTCGATGTGCATGCTGGGGTTTCTGGGTGCCGTGATTTATGTTCTCCGCCACCCGCTAATCCGCTCCTCTGCAGAAAACATTGGTTTGGGGTTTAGGCTTCAGGGTTTAGGATTTAGAGTTTAGGGTTTAGGGTTCAGGGTTCAGGGTTTAGGGTCTGCCGAGCTCCATGGGGGTTTCCAAAAATTGGGGATCCCTTTTGGAAGCCTTTTTAAGAAGGATGTATAGTACTTGGGTGTAAACACAAAACTCTGAACCCTAAATCCTCATTTTCAGCCCCTAAACCCTAAACTCCAAACCCTAAATCTTAAACCCTAAACCCTAAGCTCCAAACCCTAAACCCTAAACTCCGAACTCCAAACCCTAAACCCTACCAAATGTGTCAGTTCCCAGCATCAGGCCACGAGAGCTATATACCGCAGGAGTGGATTGGTCGAGTACGAGCCGGGCTGGCTTCTTGCTGAATGTTGGGAGAAGGTTTGGGGTTAAAGGTTTCGGGTTTTGGGGTCAAGGGCTTGGGGTTTAGGGTCTGCGGTTTAGGGTTTAGGGTTGGGGGTTTGGGGTTTAGGTTTTAGGCTTTGGGGCTTAGGGTATAGTTTCTAGAATGGACAAGACAATGGAAACTGCTGTCGGGTTTAGGGTTTTAGGCCTGTTGGTAGGAATGAAGGAACTAATGCATTTGGAAATTACAAATTCAGTCATTCAGCCCTATTCCCTACACATGACCAGTAAGGCCGGCGTGTACTCAGTCTCTTTTCTGCATCTCAAGCTACTGCAGCAAGATATGCATACTCGTAATACTTAGAGTACTTAAATGGTAGTAGCAATAGTAATTATACACGTAATAATAGTAATAATAGTAATCATATGAATAATGGCAGTAATAGCAAGAATAAACGAAATAAGAATAATAATGACAATATTAATAACAATAGTAATCATAGTAATGATAGGTGATAATAGCGGCGCCTGGTGCAGAGCTTGATCTTCAATTCAAGGTAGCTCATGGTGACTCGTGCTGTCCCAACAGGTATGGGCCGCCATATTGCTGGTCTTCTGGGGAATTACCACATCAAGGCTCCGAGTGCGATGGGGCGTGCAAGAAACAGCTGCTGTGGCAAATATGTAACAAGAAATTCCAGGGTAGCCTTATTGGCAGGCTTTGATCAGCCAGCATGCCAACATGTACTAAGGCAGAAAGACACATTCATCTTATGCTGTGCCCAGTTAAGAACGATGTGCTCGCCTGTGGTTAGTCTTCTCAAGCCGGCGCCCATAACTCTTCCGCTAGGCTTGTGCTGTTTGGCAGCCATGTCCCATCTTTTGTAGCTCAGGGAAAGGCGAGCTAAGGAATGTTACGAGCAGATCAACCCCGAATGGGAACCCAAAGAGCCCAGCGCATGGTTGCCGCTCTTGGTGAACGCATCGTGGCTGACAGATGATTTCCGTAATTTTGTCCACAAATAGCATTTTCGACATGGGAAATTCTAAAAGTGATCCCTTGCCACACTTTTTAATGATAGGTCCTGTAACTAGCCCTATTTTGACGCTCCCAAATGAAAGGTGCTTACTTGCAGCTTCTTGGCAGCTTACGTCGGGGCGATTTCAGCTGTTCTCAACTGGCAGTTCGGCTTCCAGAACAAGGACAGGATCCAGGGTTTAGGGTTTGGGGTTCAGGGTTTAGGGGTTGGGAGTTTCGCAAAGCAATTCTTGTAGGGTCCTTTGTAGTTCTGGTTTTAGTAATAGCAAGAATAATCGAAATACCAATAGTATCAGGTACTAGTAATAGAAATGATAATCGTAAAGCTAATCGTAAAACTGACCGTAATAGTAATAGAAATTGAGAAGGACCCCCTGGTCATTGTCAGGGTCCCCCAAAACCCTAAACCCCAAAACCTAAACCTCAAGCCCTAAAGACTAAGCCCTAAACCCTTGTTCTAAAATAACCAGCAGGAGGGAGATGCCGGCCTCAGTGCCACGCTGGCACCTCTCATCCTCACAGCGCTCATCAAGCTCCTTACTAACTAGGTTTTGGGCTTTAGGACTTCAGGGTTTAGGGATTTAGGGCTTTGGGGTTTAGGGCTTTAAGGCGCGCACCCTGACCGGCATGAGCCCACCCCCGCTGGCGCTCCGCCCTTGCCTCGACCTTTACGCGTTCAGGGTTCTCTCGAACTCTGATCGCGTTCCTGTCTCCTTATTTGTTTTTTGCACCGGTCCATTTCGAGATTGGGCCTTGCCCGGAGGCTTTCAAGCCATTACCAATTGGACGTGTCCAGCTTCGGATGGATGGGTCTAGCCGGACGCCTCGGTTCCTGAACGAGTGGCCCTGTCCAGACCGCGGGTGCAAGGTTTGGGCTGGGTCTGGCTCGAGCTCTCTTGTTACTGGTTGCGAGAAGGCGGGTGCGGGGTTTGGATTTGGGCCTGCCTTGAGGCCTCTAGTTGCTTCAGATCAACCATTGAATTGGGTGCAAAGTTTGGGTCTGGGTCTTGCTCTCTTCAGCCAGCCTTGCAAAGGTCCTGAAAATAGGCTCCCACTCCCAAGGACGATAGCTACTGACTGAGCTCTGACTGGAGGTCTCGTAGATTCGGAGACAAACTCAGGCTCGCGAAGGAGAGGTTTGAGAGAGGTTGTGCCTTGCTTCAGGTTTCTGGAAAGCCTTGCGTTGCTCTCAAACTGGAGCCCTGAAAGTAGGGGTCCAGGGCTTCAGGGTTTAGGGGTCTAGGGTTTCGTGTTTAGGGGTTTGGGAGTTAGGGGTTTAGGGTTTAGGGTTTGGGGATGGGGGAGAGTGGGGGAGCTGCAGATGCTATGATTATAGGGATATGGCGAAACAGTTACAAGTGTAATCCGCCCTAAACCCTACACCCTCACTTCAAGCTTCGCCTTTGGGGGTGTTTTCTCTGTCAGTGAGGCTCGGCAGCTTGATGTGGACCTACATTGCCCCGGCCATCGTGCGCTTGGAGAGCCTTGACAGGGTTTAGGGGTTTAGGGTTTAAGTTAGGGATTATGGCATATGTTGGGGGCCCCGATTTATGGAACTTACCAGATCTTTTAAGCAGGCTAACAGAGACAATTGCACTGCCTTCAAGGAACCACCGACGGGAGGATGACAAGGTGGAAAAGCTGTCCTCCGTCCTTGCTCTCGTGAAGACACCACTCTGAATCCTAGAAAGTCTTGTCCCTTTGCGAACGTCACGGAGTTGTTGGAGCCGCACCAGATCCTTCAACTTGCTGGTGGTTAGTAGGGAAGAAGGGTCCCTTTTCTCTACCAACCGCCAGTATGTAAGAGGGCTTTTCGCAGGCTGCCTGAGTTGAAGATGATGGGTGCCTTGTTGATTTGCTGGGTCATGATCCACTACACAAAGCCTTCGAGCCAAAGATGTACGTGATACAATCTTCAGGAAGGGCTCTTGTGAGTACAGAGTCTTTAGTTTGCTCTTATGCACGCATTCCGAGCGCCAAGGATCTTTGTCGCCCTGTACCCTTTCATATCTTCATGCTTCATTGCAACCTTGGTTCAGTTGCTTGGCGTAAGTTTTCCCCACCACAACGGAGGGCCTTCGTGGTTGTCCCTGTCGGTCTCATGTTCCAGCTGCCTTTGAGGTTGTAAGTCTTAGCATGCACTCTTGCCATCTCGCTCCTCCGACGCAGCAGCCGCAAGCCCTCTTGCACAGTGACGGCCATGTACTTTCCTTGCGCAGGGATCTCCTGAGAGTTCGCCTAGTGCATGTTGCCTTCCATTAAGCGGATGCTAGGCGGAGGCTGTTTTGCTGAAAATTCCCGGAACAACACAGGCAAGCAGCTACGCCCTGAACCCTAAGCCCTAAACCGCCTGATACTATGGTGCTGACGTTTCACGTCTTGGTGCTGGTGTCGGGGCTGCTCTTTGCAGGTGTAGGTATAGGATTCGACAGTTTGGGGTTGTGGGAGTCAGCAACGTGGAGTGTCTGGGTTACTAGAGAACCCTCTGTTCCAGCTGATTCTTCATCAGGAAGCCGTATAACCCCAAATATAACCTCACATACTCACCCCCCAACAGATGAGGTTCTTAGTCCCCAGTCTGTTGCTTACATCACACACCGAAAACTTTGTTGTTGCCTGCTCCACGTCTTAGGTCGACATGTGCTGACACCTTCGAACTGGCGGTGGAAGCTACCTGGCAAGACTACGACCATACCAAAACACTCTCAGCGGAGAGCCTGGAGGCTGGGGGGGGAGAGGCTTAAGATCATACGAATGCCCATTCTACACGAACATATCGGGAATACTGAATATTAGGGAGGGGGGGTTGGGGATGGGTTGGGGATGTGGCTGTTGTGCAAAGTTGTTTTTTTGTGGCCTTGCCGTTTTGCTTTGCATGTTGCTGCAGGCAATCAGGCCTTACAGCTTCGAAAAAGACGGGCAGATTTGCTTTCACGGCTGCCACCCAGCCGACCTTTCGAATTCACATGCCTCTGGACCACTTTTGGGGAACCATTTTGGGGGTCCCCATAGTAGGGGATTATAGTATTTTGGGGTCCATATTGGGGTCCCCCTATTTATGGAAACTACCATATCATGCTGCTCTGTTTTCGTTTGCTAGGACTGCGCAATCAGATGTGCAAGTCAGGTTTGGTCTGAGACAACCTGCGACAAGAGCGTCTCCGCGAACCTAAAAACGTACTTGGGCTCAAATGGGATCAGTCTCCCGAAGCCATACAACCTACAGTCCCCCTTGAGTAGATAGAATACAGGGCATAAGGGGATCTCATTGGAATAACCCCAAAGCCATATTCTATCTACTTAAGGGGGACTTTACACCCAGGCTTGGCTTGTTTGCATCCCGCTCTTGCTTGAATTGAAGGAAGGTTGTGATGCTGGCATGATAACACCTCCGCTTCGTTTTCCATGTTCTCTTTGTAAACGCGAGATATTCCTATTGCCCTACCACACTGCAAAGGGACCTAAGGGTTCCATGTCATTTCCCGTTTTCTTTTCCATTTGATGCTCCATTCGTGGCGCAATGTCCCTAAACCCGAAATAGCAGTTTCCATAGTTGATTCTCCATCATTGGTAACCCTTAGCGCCAAACCTGGTGGAGCTGAGGTACTTTGTCTTCACCGTGCTTCTAGAGCTGGTCTTTCTCATCATCCCGATCGCTATATCCGCATACGAGATTCACAAGGAACATCGAAAACCCTAGGCCCTAAACCTTAAACCATATGAGATTCACGCGAACATCGTAAACCCTAAGCCCTAAACCCCAAACCATATGCGATTCAAAAGGAACATCGGCAGCAGAAGAGCAAGGGCGAAAAGTTCTCTTACACACTGCTGCAGTGGGAAGCCAAAAAGTTCAAGTATGATTGGGCTTCCTGGGGTGGTGACAAGATCAATGACTATCTTGATCTTACGCTTCTCGTTGGCATTAGCTGCTTCTGTCGTACGTCATGGGACGTCGGATTTGCGAGAAGTGTGACCGCAAACTCAGGATTTCTTACGCCGTGGTCGTTTGTTTTGGAATTATTGCGCCATTGATGGCCACTGGGGCCGTCATCGCCCTCTTGCTGCTGGGCAGATTCAGAGAGGTGTTTGTGCTGCATGGCGGTTTCAAGCATGCGCAGCCTCCGCTAATATTGTGCTGTTGCCAGGTTTCTTTAGTCACCTTCAGTCGGGACAAGGGCGACTGTCACGTCAGAGAAGTGGAGATAAAGAAGCTATAGTAGTTTCCATGTTCTTTTCCATTATCCCTATATCCTATATAACCCCATATAACCCCTATGTACTCCCTATACATGTTCTTGCGTGCATGCCCAGCCAAGCAACCCAGCAGACCTTCCTCCAAAGCGCAAACTTCAATGCGCTTGCGGCCATGCCATCACCAAGGATTTCGCAGCGCTTACGCTGTTATAGGACAGTCCCGTAGCAGCCCAGAGTGTCCAATACCTTTTAATTAAAGAATACAATATAGGGGCCTAAATAATTACCAATAGTATGGTTCCATATTCCTTGTATATTTTAGTATACGGTACTTCAAATGGACCTCAAAATGATATTGTAATAATTTAGGCCCCCATATTACACAAAAATGGCACTAAGATCCCTAATAGGATTTAAGCTGTATTCCTTTAAGGGGTATTGGGTTCCCTGGGTAGCATTTTCAGTGTAAGTGGGTCGGGGGCTACTTCGAGCTGCGCAGGATGATCTACGTAACCCGAAGGCCGGCCCCAGTTGCGCAGATTCCTTGCTCGTATAGTATATTGCAGTAGAATATAGTATGCTATAGTATATTGTAGGATAATATAGTATAACATAGTATGTTGAAGTACATTATAGCATATTTGCTCTTCTTCTGTGACCGCAGATGCGCACTCACACAGCAGTCTTCTGGCAGAGGCCTCTGCCACGGGCGAGTGCGGGCTTGGGCGTTTGGCACTCAGTCTTCTCTGGGAGTCTCAGCTGCGTTCAGCCATTCGCCAGGGGAGACTCTTTGCACTGATTGTAGTAGAATTTAATGTAGTATATCATGGTATATTTTGTCTGTTGTAGTATCTTGGAGTATTCCATCGTATTTCATAGTAATTATATTGTAGTATATTACTTGCCCCCTCCAAGGGCAGTTTAGCAACGGCAGTTTAGCAAGGGGAGGCAGCCACCATTCTTGTGAGGCTACGACCTGTTGTGCCGTGCCACAGCTCAGGATCAATGTTCTGGCTGTTGTGATTAACGTGGGCCTTGCGGCCGTCTTCTTCTACCCGATGCGCATCATGTCTAAAAGCAACTGAGCTGGACTAAATTGCGTTGGCTCGGCAGTCAGAATCCGTGCACGAAGGTGAAAAGTTCATAATCTTTGTGATTGCCGAGCACGTGGTGCTACTGGTGCAGCATCTGGTCAAGCTCATTGTGCCAGAAAAGCCAGCGGATCTTGCTCATATCGCATCTTGCCTACAGAGAGTTCTGTCGACTGCAGGACTGTTAGTCAGCGTATTTTGATGATGTCTTAAATGACTCCAAGGAAGCATACAACCAGCACGTCAAGAAGTCGGTCCATGGTACAGAGTCAGGCACGGGGTACTATACCCAAAGCTAATTAGAATAGTAAGAATAGTAATCATAGTACTACTAGTAATAATAGTAATAATAGTACTACTAGTAATAATAGTAATAATAGTAATAGAAATAGTGATAATAATATAATACCCAAACTCTGCTTCAGGCATGAGCCGTCTCGTAAACCACCGGACGGGCCGTGGCCATGTCAAGCTGAGCCTCAACCCTCAGGGCATCCAAAGTGATGCCGACTCCACCGATGAGTCCAATGAGGACAGCGGCGGGAACTGCCTATGAAGCCTCAGGTCCAAGACCCAAGGTTTCAGGTAGTATACTGTAGTATATTATGGTATATTCTAGGATATTGTAGTATATTATAGTATATTGTGGTTTCTTGTAGTTTCTTGTAGTATATTGTAGTATACTTTCGTATATGATAGTATATTCGGGCTTGATGGCTGGACAAGAGCCACAATGTCTGTACAGTACAGGATCTGCAAGTTTCAGGTCTCAGGTAGCCTCCATGATATGCGGAGGTGGGCATCATGGGACCGTCACGGCTTCGCATCGGTTCGAATAAGTGTCTTTCCGGGCTCTTTTGCAATGCGCGCCGAAGGCTTTCCTTACTGCAGGGTAGTGGGAAAAATCGGGATAGAATCCCTATAACCTCCATATGATATGAGCTATAGTCTAAACTCCTTGAACGGGGCTATATAGGGGAGTATATAGGGGATTACTATCGGGCTTATTGAGTGGGATACTAGGAGTTTAGACTATAGCTCATAGGTTCCCTTATTCTCTACCAACCCCCAGTTGGTAAGTTTCTGAGCTGCCGAGGCTTCAACGTTCCTTCTGACGCTGCAGTCCTGTGCATGGCTTCCTCCTGATGATGTAGGGGAAGATGAGGATGGTGCAGAGGCCGCCCCTTTTAGGGTTCAGGGTTTAGGGTTTAGGTTTTAGGGTGTAGGGTTCGGGGTTTAGGGTTCGGGGTTTAGGGTTCGGGATTTAGGATTTAGGGTTCAGGGTTTAGGGTGTCTAGGTTGCCGGGAAGGAGTTTCTCAAACTTCTCAGTCTTTGTTGGGCCCCTTTCAATGA